CATTAAATTATTATTTATAAAGACTTTTAGAATGATACCTTCAGTGTGATGCATATTTCATTAGACAGATTGCTCTGATTCCAAATGCATACCAAAGTTAGCAAATCCATGGTACATTTTTTCTTCCTGGCTGTTACTTGTCTCAAAGCATTCAGTAACACACCAGGACGTAATAGCTTGGACATATTGACCGGTTTGCTCAACAGTTCTCCTTGCTTCGTGAGAGTCAAAAGTTCTTCTGTAGCTTTTGCTTTGAAAATAAGAGACGTAAGATATTCGGCAGGGTTCACGGGGCCAATCCAAACGTTTTCCCAATTTTGAGGTACGGATTGTAATCTAAGTGATTCGATTGTTTTCAAGGTTGACGAGTCTGCCGCTTCTACTCCACGGATTGCTTTGCTAACTTTTGACAAGCTTATATGAATACTTTGAACCTGAAAAAGTCATACTCACTCCTGTAACACGCAGACCTAACTTACAACTTGGATGGCATGAGCGTACTCTATGGACATTACTTCAACAAGAGGATCACCGGATTCGATGGCGTTCGGTATCTATGAGACCAGTTTGGTGATACTTCATGTATAACATTATATTACCTGCTTAGTATGTATATCTGATCCTTGACAAAGCCTCTTCCATAGGTTCAATACAGGGGATGTTATTTCATTCCAATCAGATCTATCGTTTTTCGTATTGTTAGCGGAAGCTGAAATTTATTTTTCAGAACTTAATAAGAAATGTGAATCATTATGAAATACCTGAAAATCTGAGTTTAGATATTGTTTCCTCAGCCTCTGTCAGTTCCCAGGACACTCTTATGTTGGGGGGTAAACCAAATAGATTGGGGTTGTCTTCGTTAGGAACATCTTTTTGTATGTAATCCAAATATTCCTGATAAAGAGATTGATTTAACAGCTATTGGAATTTCCAAATTACTTCAACTTTATTGCTGCTCAGAATTCTTATGTTGTTAGCAACCGTTTGCCCTTCACTTCCAGTAATAACATTCTCATTGAACAGTTTTTTCAGATATGACTCCAGTATGAAGCTGTCAAAGACGTTTTCTATACGACCTCCGTATACCACAAACAGTAGTAAACCTTTGATAAAATCCCAATCAGGCTCTATAAGATTCATTTTTATCATGTTATTGTAGAAACAAACTTCTATCTTCGGTCAACTGTTCAATCATCCATCTTGCTATCCGCACATCGGCATTTGAAAACTCATAGAACTTACTCCAAGCCTGTAAGCATAGTTAGTCACATGTTCAACTTAGGCATTTTAACTTGAGGAATGAATGTTCTGCGTTCCTGTAGAAGAGCGTGAAGCCAAGCGAGAACAAAGATTGATTGACAAGTTAAAGCAGAACGTTTCCTCTCATCAATTTGTTTATAAGTTCGTATGAGATTGTTTTTCAAACCTGAAGAAAGTTTCAGAAAACTGAACAGCACAAGCTATCCTACCTGGTGGAGGTTCAAAAGTTATCTTTAAACTGCTTTGCAAAAGTATAGCGGGGAATCTTTCATCAGCTTCTGATGTTAACCATAGTCTGAAGGACTCATGAGATTCACTTTGTCCAATTTCCTAAAGAATTTTTTCGTAGATAAATTTTCTCCTCAAAGTGCCTTATGTATGAGTGGGACAATTGATAACATAAGATGAACGTTATTTAAGCAAACCCAGCCTCCTTCCCTCATTGCTTTCCGTAAGGCTGTTACAGCTATCATTTCTTGACCTTGTCCCATGGAGATTGATTCAAACATTTCTGCTCCAACTACTTTCTTTGCTAATTCCTCTAACTCCTGGTTGTAGAAAACAAGTAGGCATCAATCTTATCAAAAGAAATTACCTGAGATGGATCAGCACCAGATGACAAGATTAATAATATTGGTTCCTTGGCCGTACTCTCACCATGAATCTCTTCCAAACTGAACGCGGGAGGATTGATGGATGGTATTGCTGGAAAATCTACATATTTTACTTGAGAGAACAAGGCCAACCTAAAGATTTGGTGACAAAGCTCAAAATAGCGGAATACAACCGTTCTGGACGAATCGCTTGAATGAGTAGAACCTTAAAACACAAGAAGTATATAGGATATCGTTCACGAAGGGGAAACCTTCTGAAATGGTGTTATCTTGGAGTCAATAAAAGATGGAACTGCTGTTTCGCATTCTACTGTTCTGGAGAACTCACTCCAAGTACCTTGATCATGAAGTTGTAGTGTATTGAAAAGCGTCGGTAGTTGTGCCTTAAGAGGTAAACTTGGATTTCCTTAGTTACCGCTATTCTTACTTGAAGTTTAGATAACATTGCATGGCGGGATTCATCGATCCAAGTGAGACTTTTGATGGAACCGTCCGGTTCTCTATCACCATCCATAAGCATACCGATAAAAAAGTCCATCTCCTACAAATGAAAACAAAATGTTGTTATTTTCACAACAATCTAGTACATATTTGACAACAACATGTGCTAGTGCTCTATACGCTGTTAGTGCCAGTGTGTATGTGGTCCTCTGGTGTAGTGGTTATCACGTCTGCTTCACACGCAGAAGGTCGCCGGTTCGAACCCGGCGAGGACCTACTTTTTTTATATTTTCACAAAATACTGGTAAACAAAAAAAAAAGAATTGTAACTTTAACTTACATTTTTTTGGAACAGTTTTGACATTGTACTCACGACAAAATTGAAAGCGAACATCAGACGATCAGTTTTAAACAATGCTCTTGATATATAATAAAATACTCGTAACTGCAATGCACGACGTAAAGAGTCAAGACGCGTTGAAGAAGAATCCTATAATATAAATTTAAATTTATCATGAACTTTCGTAGAATACCGTAGCAGTTCTGATAGTCTTAACAAACAAATTCGTGATAGTATTAACGTTGAAATCGTACATCTTATTGTGCAAATGTAACTCGCTGAAAGCGAAATACAGCGAACTAGCAAATTCAGCCAGAGGTAGATAGGCTTCTCTTTCCTAAAAATAATGATTATATATCTATAAAATGACAAAACAACCTGCTGTAACTGCGATCGCAACTTCTCACTTTCTTCAATACTTTTACTAATGGTTTCTGCATTCTCTTTAGAACGGTTTAAAGATTCTAATAGCACTGTATTATCGAGTATGTTTCCTTCCGAAGCAGCCAGTTCCTAAAGGTGCGTTTTTATGACAGTTTTCCTTCTCTCATCATACTTGTAATAAGAGCTGTTCAAGTTTATCTAGTTCAACTTTCTTAGTTTCAGAATCACGGGCCAACTCTCTACTTTTACCTTCCAGTTCTGGTTTTTCTATATGAATCGCAGTACCCAACAACTTAATTCAGCTATAATGCTAGTACATAAAAGCTTAGAAAACCTGAGATGTGAGTCCACTTTTAGTAGTTGTGAAGTTGACAATTTCCAATAAGTCTTTGATACCTGACGGAATGGATATGTGCTCATTTTTGGTGCACAAAAATATAGCAAAATCAGGGTTATAATCGATTTGTTTATCACCAAAATTGATAACCTACAGATGAATGTTAATTGGATGGTTAAGAAGTTAACTTAACCATTCTAGGGCCTTGGGATGATAAATCCTTACGTAGAATAGGGACCAGACATGGATCAATACTATTAACATCGTCAACTACTAGAGTTTTTCCAAATCTCAGTCCTAATTCGACCTGAAATGTTTGATTTCCATTTAAGACTATTTAAAAGATATACCTGAGTGAAAAAATCGTTCTGCACAGCTTTCAACATTTCAGATTTCTCTAGGAATTTATGGAGGAATTCAGCAATACGACCAGTAGGATCCATTATCAATGGTACTTGATCTCCGTTAAACATTACAATTGCGTTTTCGATTGAAAGATTATCAGCTGGTAGGCCATGATTTTTCCAATTTAACTGAGAATTTTTTTTTGAAAATAGACTGCTTACAAGTTACCTGTTCTGTTTCAGAAGACGAGAACTCAACAGGGTTAAAGTTTTCCAGATGCAAAAAAGCTTTGATTTTTGCTAGAACTTCTTGGCGTATACGTTCTGACGACTCTCCCAGGAAAGTAACGAGAACCGAAGATATGAGTGAGCATCTTTCAACTTGTTCAATCTCAAATGCCAGTATTTTCAATTGTTCTTGCCAACGCTCGAATTCTCCTCCGAGTCGATCAACCAACGTTCCAGCAACAGCAATAGTAGCCTTGAGATAAATATGGACAGTTACTTCTTTTGAGAAAAAATCACCTCTTCTTTTTCAACATCAATTTTTATCTGAGTAGCTTCTTTCATCAAAACTTCGAATTTCGACTTCAAGTCTGAGACTTTTTCATCTACAGTTAACAATCCTTTTGATAGTTTTTCTATTTGTTTCTCTGCTTTTGATAGATTCCTAGGGTGAAATTCCATATATTACTGAAAGAATGAGTTGACTCACTTCACAAGAGCATTTTTCTCCTGCTCGAGAGGAGATATTTTCTCTAAAATAGCCGAGTACTCTAAATTGGCCATGACCCAGGCTGCAAGAGGAGCAGCAGCCACTGAGGCGCGCTTCGCATTCTGAAATAAGGTTTCAGAAAAGCATGAAGTTATATCAACCTTAGGGTCAAAACTAGACTGCTTCGATTGAACTAGAGATTGAACTTTCTTGCGAACATCTTTAGATATGCGATGAGCATCGAAGTTTATGATTTCATCCTTCACACCACTTTTCGATAAAAACCTATAACGAGATTGGTAAGCAGAGAAAGCCAGTTTGATAATACTTTCTCATAGCCTCCCAAGATGTGTCCAATATTCCCATGAACAACAACACGGCTTGTAGAATGTCACGAATCGCTTCAGGCGGAGCACGAAGGGAGCGAATTTCGCTTAATGATTCTGGTTTAATCGAGCCGACAGCTTCTCTGGCTGCCTGGATATTATAACTAAGATATTATGGTTGCAATTATGCTCACTTGGATCACTGGTTCTACATCTTTTAACTGTTCATCAATAATTTTCTTCTGGGCTTCAATTTTTTCGTTCTCTTTCTCTGTCGCTTCTCGTAGTTGCTCCATTGACATTTTTTGGTCTTCAGCGCCCTGAGAATAATATGGAAGTTTGAATGAAAGAATAATCCCTCACCGTCATGCTTCTGGTTATGGCAGATAATGCTTCATCTGCTTCAGCTTGTTTCTCAACTAATAATTTACTTTTTTTAGCTGCTTTTTTTTGTAACTTGGCAACTTCTTCTTTTGCTGCTGTGAGTTTGGAAACACCAGCCTGATGTATTGACAGTAGAAGTGATGAGTACAACTATGCTCTTACTTGTAAACGATCCAGTCGAGTTTTAATACCATTCTTCTTCCCACTATAGATGCTCATGTAGTTCTGAATGAAAAGCCGGTACTTGAGAGGTGAAACGAGGCTTTTAGGTAGGAATTCTAATATTTCTTTGAAAGATTCAGTAGTTCCTTCTGATATTTCAACCTTCTCTTTTTCGAATAAGAGCCGAGGCATCTAAATGATCATAACTACATGCAAGCAAACAATTAATAGAATAACCTGTGTCAATGCACTTCTAGAAAACTGGTCATTCCAGATAATGTTGCACTGTTTGAAAATGGAAGGATTTGCAGCAGTGTGCGTATCAAAATCAGAACTACTTGTGTCCATTATGAGAGCTACATGAACAAGTGACCGAACTCCTGGAGAAAATTAGGAGTGTGAAAAATTTAATAAAACTACAAACTATGAAAAAGGAAGTTATGCAAATGACCGTGATAACCTTCTTGACTTGCATGATCTCTGATAGAGGCAGTAAGAGAATCGAGCTCCTGGAAAGTGAAGAAAAACAATGATTTAAAGTTTAGTTGAATACAGTCTGTTGAAACAATCCAGGAACGTCTCCACTTGAGAGCAATGAATTAACTGCTTGTAGAAAAGAAGAACTGAGTATTTGATAATCTTCGAGCAGAAAGACAACGTGCTCTCCAGATGTTATTACAGTACTGATCATCTGAACTTTGAAAATGAGAAAATAAAATAGAAATCACTCAATTACAGCTTTGAGTTCGTTATCGAAATGTTTTTTGCTATATGTAGATGAGATTTTCGGAGAGAACACTTGCATCTGGTGCATATTTGCTATCAACAAAACCACATCTCTTCTTCCAAATCCAGATCTTCCAGCCATTAATAAGCTTCCTCCTGAACGAACAATTTTATAAACTCAAATTAAAGCAGCCGTGCACAGCTTTGTTTAATGGGAAATGACTCATGACGCCACGTGAATTCCGTGAAAATCATCACAATATGTATATGCAAATTACCTGCAGAGGTCAACACTCTGTCCACTTTACTGGCCAATTCACAGAACTCATTTGTGAGAGCAGTGTTGAAGTTAGCTACTTCGAATTCTATCAGGAAAAGTATAATTTGATTCTTTTGATATAATAAATACCGAATCGATTAACAGCTTTTTTAATCTGAGCTTCGAAGTTACTTTTTGAAGTTGGAACCAATGGTATGCCAGCTGAGTGAGAAGAAGGTACAACTGTTGAATTGGTTACGTAGAAAATATCTGAATTAGGTGATGAAACAAATATAAAGTAGCTCTCAGTACCTGAATTAGACGAAGACTTTGACAAAGTATTTGACATGATGTTAAGAAACTCTGACTTCTGCTCTTCGCTCACCAGCCTTGATCATTAAGCGTTCATATGATATGACAGTTTAGACTGACCTATCCATGAAAATTCTCTGACACTCGTAAGCTAACGCATTTGTGACAGAATCCGAATCATTCAGTTCATATCTCATTAGCGCCAATGTCCATTTTGTTAAATCTCTTCAAAAAAAACAATGTAATGAGAAATTTTTCTTGAAGAAACCTAGGTGAAAACACATAATGATTTCTATCAGATATTCGGAAATGTGAACGAATCTCTTCATATATTTGGACCATACTGTTAGCCACTGTTTCAACTCGAGCAGCAGATTGCAAAGGTCCCTAAAATAGGTTTAAACTCTCGAAGCTTGTATCAAATTACTTCAAGTATAGGTGTCAAGTAAGCTGTATAGATTGACAACAGATTATTATTCGAAGGATAATCTATTGAATACAAACGAAGCAGAGATAGAAGTCTAGCAGGTAAGTCAGCAGAGGATGAGTTTGGTGACATTGAAGCCACAATCTGAAAAAAACACATACTATGATTTCATATCGGAAAGGTACCTGAATATTCTCTAAACCAATCCATTCCAAATGATCATCATAAAAACCTTGGTAGGTTAGAATTTGCTGTAGAAAGGCTAGCATTTCATTTGTCCCATACTGTAAATTGTAAGTTGATAGTTGATTGCATATAGTTGCAACATTACTTTGTCAGGTGCTGGCAAGTTGAAATTTTTGAAAAAAAGGATGAGATTTGCTTTCTCTTTCGGTTTCAATACTCTCCCACTTGCTGAACTTGTTTGAACACAATGTTGATGCAAAGCCTGTAGTACAGTCAAAGCGCTAAATAGTTTTGCCAAAATTATAACTCAAAGAACGAAAATTGGTTTTACTTGCTCTGAGCGCTACAATGAATGATCCCCAACTGGCTTTGACCATCCTGATCGAAGCAATAACGCAGAAGTTCTTCTTTGCCGCAACCATCTGGGCCGCGAACAACGAAAGATTGACGATTACCATCATCGAGCCATGTTGATAACTTGATCAGAAGATTAATATGTTAAACAAATGTTTGGATACTGTATGAATTGATGATTGTGCCGAAGCTGTTAGAATGTAGGGACGTCCTGAATCCTTTTTCAAATCATCTAACCGAATCACCAAAGAGCCCATATCATCAAGAAATGGCATAATCGTATCTGACTTCGTATCAACATAGTTGTTCAATGGGTTTTCCATATCTGGTAAACTGTATCCTGTGTAATTAATTAATAAATAAAACATTTGTGTTTATATGAGAGAAACCTTGGAAGACAATATCTGATGCGAATATCCTCTGTTTATCTTCAGAGACTAAAGGACAGAATCCTCTAAACAGCCTTTCCAGAAACTGAGCTTCACTTTTAGAGTTTCTGAATACTAATTACATCTCTTGTGTACGGATTTCGAACCACCTCAACTGGCTCAAACCATTTTGAACAGCAGCTATCCTGGTCATATTAGGGATGGCATAACGTTGCTTCTCCACCCAACTGAACGCTCTTTGAAAATGTTTTTCAATCCAGTTTTCCAAATTTGTGCGATCATCTTCTTCACTCGATTTGAGCCATTTCTTGATAACGTCAGTTTCACTGAGATCTTCCTCGCTAGATGAAGAATATATGATGAACTAAAGGAAAGGAAATACGAACCTAATGAAAATCATTCCCATTCGAGATACAGTTGCGGGCGAAGCGTGTTGTAAAGAATTAGTTTCGAATAAAAAGTTGACGTTTGAGCCAAACTGTATACGCTCCCCAGATGGCATTGTTAGCTGAAAACAGTTAAAGTTCCAATGCTTAGAAGTTTTTACTAATCACGGACCAGTTTATTATCGTCAAGTACAGAGTTCAGAGCTTCTACCCATTCAGGATCAATGTCTCCATCACAAACAATCCACGTGTGAGTAGTAGTATCACGGATTACCTGAACCAGTGATTATGAGCTACAAAGAAAAAACAAATTCCAAACCTCTCTTGCTGCCATAGTTAAAATACCATCTGACCATTCTCTTGAATCCATATCCATATGACCCAGAAGCTGGAGTAAACAAGGTTTGTTCTATGCGTAAAAAAATACAAACCTTAGTCCTTGATACAGCTTTAGGATTGAAAGACAGAACTTTTATAGAAGATTTTCCCAAAATAAGTAGAGCTTTATGAAGTATCTTCCAGATTGTTGATTTGCCAGAGCATGGAGGCCCCACGACTACCACACCAATTCGCTGACGAAGCTGTTCATAGAGTTGGAAAACTTTTTGGAGCTATAAAGATATTTTTTTTGAAACCGAGAACAGAAAGATAGTACCTGTTTATCCGATAGGTCAATCTTCATTTCTTTTGAAGCCCTATCCAGGGGGTCGATCAAGTCCCCAAACTGAAACAAATGTTGAGTTCCAACAACCTAACGCAATTACTTTAGCCATTTCCTTATCAGCATCAGAGAAAATATCATCTATCAAAACGGTGAATCTTTTTGAGTCAGCGAATGTCAACTTTGATAGCGTATTGAGTAATAAAGCCTGAATGTGGAATCGTTTATTATTATTAATAACTTCAGAACCTGAACAACAATGTCAGTTTCTCGTTTGTCGGGACTCATGCTCCTGAGCTGGCCACATCCTCGTAAGACTGTTTTCAATGCTCTCAAACCCCAGTCATAATGTTGTTGGGATGACAGCATCTCTCTGTACAATAATATGCATCGTCTGATAGAAAACTTAAAGACTCACCGACTCAAACGGAAACATGTAACTACTTTCTTAGACAACGCTTTTGCTTCTTTAAACCCTTCACTATATAATATTGTTTCTGTGATTATTTCATTGTCGGGAACAGACATCACAACAGGTCGGAATAACTATAAATCATTGGGTTTTATCCTTTCTTATAAGGTTAGTTACTTGTTTCAGGTTATCAGGCATTTTCTGTCTACCTCCATATCCTTTACCAGCAGGATTTAAAGTAATAAAAATAGCAGAATTGGGGTTAACATCAATCTAAAAATGAGGTGAACGAACTTTTTCATAAAGAAGCCCTACAGTTTTGTTATTCAAAGTGCACTTAGATGTTCTTGATTTGATAGCATCTTGTATGACTTGAATTTGCATAGACACAGCGGACAGCACTGTCTGAAGTTACATTGATATTAGAACACGCTTGAACGTTTCACTAACCGAGTCTAATCGGTTGAACTCATCAAAACAGCCCCAGGCGCCACATTCTACTATGCCAATGAAAATTCGTCTGAAGACAAGTTAAGTAGGCTATTGAGTTCAACGCGCTTACCCCATAGAGTGAACATCAATTCCTTCGTCGCAGTTGAATACCAAAACTTGTCTACCAAATAGTGATCCAAGGGCCTCAAATTTGAAAGTTTCGTGGTGTTAGTTAGACTGATAAACAATTACTTTGACTGATTCTGTTTTGCCAGTTCCCGCTGGACCGTATGGGTTTCCTCCAAGACCCATATGCATAGCTAAAAAAGTCATTACTTTTATTTGATAATTTGAATAGAACCTTGGGTTAAAGTTAGGTAGCATTTATCTGTTAAATGAGTGTGTACCAACTTGGATGCGTTCCCCTTAATTAAAAACTAATACTTGTATGATATGGTTTTAATTACCTGATACTCATAAGTATAATCGAATTCACTATTAACTTGTTTCATCACAACTTTCTCATTCACCATATAAAATCTCAATTGTCTTTGCCATGTCCAAGAATTTATATCACTAAAAACTTCAAATATGAATAGTTCCAGGAAGAGTTAAAACTTAGACTGTAACGTTATCAACTGATCTACGACGTCAATATTATGAATCAAGTCCAAAATCAAGGATTTGAGCTTCAATTCTAACACCTTATTGGCAACCTGAAAAAAAATTATGAGTGTGCTTGTGTCTTGTGAGAACTTTACTTTTGTACTTGTATAGCCTTCCAATTGTGTCTGCATGGCTTTTCTCAAAGAAGATAGATCTTTCGTGGTTTCTAGGACCTACAAGAACTGGAGTTGTTTTTTAAGAAAATCTGTTTTTTTTACTTTCTCAACGTTCGAACAGAACCGTATGGACTCAGCTAAGCAGAGAACTTGAGAGGGGTATTGCCCAGGATCCAATGTGGAATCTCTTACAGCCTGAACAGTTAGGGACTGCAACGTCTGTCTCATTTCATCAGAAAGTTGTTGCAACCAGATCTGATATGTTTTGTTTTGAAATATAAAATTAGCAATTGTAGTACTTCTACTTGTGGAACAATTCTCACAGGTGTTCGAAGTTCAACATGCTCGCCATCAGAGGAGACAATCGTATTAATGACTTCACTGTTTGAGCCAAAAATAACCTTATCAATACCCTAAAACGCTACTTTGAAAGAAAAGTTGTTGCTCTGAACAAGTTACTTGGAAAAGCTTTTTGAGATGAGATTGTATTACAGTAGGGTTGGTAGATTGTCCCAAAATCTCCAATAAGTCATCATCACCAAGGAAATAAAAGCGAGGAAAAGCTGATCTTTTTTCCTAACATTTGATAATTTAACAAGGAAGGAAAATAAAAAGCAACTTCTAAGAACTGATTCAAAGCTTTCTGGCATCGGGCAAGCTGATCAACCAATTGCTCCAATGTTTTTTTCAAACCCTGTCGACTACAAAGACCAACTAATCGAGTGTCCCGAACTACATCTATAAGTTTCTCAGTAAGAGCTACCCCAAAGCTTAGCAATATAGGCTGACCATTGAGTATGCCTCTATACTCTCCATCCACACGAGAAAATCTTCCAGCTTCAGCAGGCAAAGCTCCACGACCAAATATTGGTTCCAAATGAATCCACTTTCTCTGAACTTCATTCATTTGAGAAAGAAATATATCGAGATCCGAGAGTCTGGAAAAAGGTTGGCGTAATGTTTAAGCTGGAGAGTATACCTTGTTTCCCAAATAGAAGTTTTATCCGTGAACTGAGAGTAGAAAGGAGAGCTCTTGAGAGATTGTAAAAGAGCCTGGCTATCTTTCACCTGGAAAATGTTGTTTGTAATTCATGAATGGTAGACACAATTCTTACCGAATTTATGGCCTCTTTCCAGTCTTTGATTACTTTCATTTGTGATCCATTAGACCGTTTATAATCTGTCAAAGTAAATTCAGTCTATAACTAATTGTTTCGAAAACGAGATAGATTTCTGATTCACCTGAGCTGACCACATTTCAAGTTCTTGTATGGCTTCTCTGATAGCTACTTCACCTTGAGCTCTGGCATTTAAAGCTTTTAGTTGATCAACATTAGCAATTATATGCTCAGAGACAGATATTAAATCACTGAATTTTAACTTTTCGAAAGTTGTTCCCCTGAAACCAAAAATTATACTCGAAAATTGTTCTTGAAAAACCTTGGTAAATGAACTAATCGGAACAGTTCGAGCCAGTGATCGGTACTAAGCATTTCGCCCCGACAAAATTTCAAACAGCCTGAGAACTCCTGAAATAACATTGAAAATTGATATATCTAAATATGTACAAACCCTGAAAGAATCGATGTCTTTTACGATTCGGATTCCCATGTGAGACTGCTGACCAGATTTCAACTTATCCAACCATTTTTGAAGAAACTCATCGAACAAATATGTTTTACTTCTGAAATATACTCTGGTGGCATACTACAAATCATTAGAACTCTACCTGAATACTATCCATTCCTCACTAGCTAACTGATCCAGTTCCGTGTTGAACTGCTCATAGATCACCCAATTGTTCTCGTAATCGAGTATATCAGCGGAAAGCTGATCTATTCCGGGAAAGTTGGGTTTGGGAACATCGAACTGATCGCACTCTTTTCTGGAAACGTTGAATTCACATGAAAAATATTAAACAAAGATAAAGATTACTCTAGTTTCTCTTTCTGAGCTATAAGCTCATCAAACATAACACGACGCTCTTTGATGAATTCTATAGCTGTTAGCATGGCCGCTCTGAAAACATTATTCAGCACAACTGAGGATGTGGTCCTACCTCTCCCCTTGCAAGGTTTCACTTTTAGGTTTGAATTGGTCCCACTTAGCTTTGAATCGTTCAACTTCCAAATTGAGAGCTTGTACACGTTGATCGACGTTCTGTTTCAAAACTTGTACCTAAAACATAAGTTCATCAAGAACTATTGAACGAATAGTTGACTTGATCTTTGATCATCATCTGATGTGAGTCCAACATAACTTCAAACTTTTCCCAATCATTCTGTAAAGAAGTCATTTGATCAACGCCGCTACCAGCAGTAGATCGTAGTAAAGTATGCTGTTCCTCCAATGTAGACCATAACGCTTTCAACTGTAATTAACAAATATATAAATTGAAATATTTCAGATATATACTTCTTTGTTCGTTTTACTGAACTCTGTATGTTTTTGATTGGCTTCTGCAACTTCATCAATTGATTGAGGACGCGAGCTCAGTGTGGTTATTGCTTGACTCAAAAATTGTTGAATTCCTTGTAAGTTGGAAGTAATTGATAAACGGAGAGTCCACGTCAATGTCTCAAACAATCTCAAATATGGGTTGTTTGATCAAACTCTTTCCGAAATGAAACCTCTGTAGTAAATCTTCAATTGCATTTTTAGCTCCGACCGTGCTCACAACAATGCAATCAACACGACATTCTCTGAAAGAACAACCTCATATAGGTGTCAGTCGGAACACTTACTTCGGTAAACCTTCAACTTCACGTCCCTTAGTTTTGAGCAGTTTCAATTGGCTTTCCCAATCACTAGCCTTTGTGAATTTCTCTGCAATTAGTTCTTCCAAATCGACCTGAGCTAGGATAAGCCAGTCCTTGAAATGAAAATTTCAAATCAAAATTCAGAAAAAAAACTACCGCGAATGGTTTGGGGACGTCTTCAACTTTATTAATGACTTGTTCTGCTTTCTCAAAAATTGCTGACATTTTTCCGGCGTTTCTTTCAGCCATAGGTGCATAAAGTCTCGTACTCTACAATAACAGAAGCTGGTTGGAACTCAGAACTTCTACATTACGTTTTCACTCTCTTGTATTCCTTTGAACTTTTCTGGGATCCCGAGAAATTTGCGCACCTCCTTATAATACTTCATCCGTATTTCTTCGATCGGTGGTCGAAGTTGCAGCTCCTGTTGCCTGAAGAACAAGATGATTCTGCAGAGGAAGCTGAATTACTCACACAAAAACTAATTGGGTATGTATAGGCTGGATTTGGGTATGCAAGCTTTCAATTCCCCATTGATACTGGAGTTGCAAAGCCTAAAGGTAATGCAATTGTAATCACTTGTTCAAAAAAGTTTTGTCTACTTTATATAATTGTCGATCCCAGTGAATGATCCATGGATTCATATTCGCTTTCGATGCTCTGTGGACCAACTCTTCTTCAAAAATCTTAAAAAAGATAAATGAAGACCTACGCTTCAGAAATTCTCAAAATTTACTTTACTACGAATTTGTGTGAGAATTTCTTTCCATCTATCGACATCTTTGAATAAGTCGACTGCTGACAAGTTTGCAACCATTTGAACGATTTCAGCATGCTTGTTTCTCAATCGTCTGAAAATATTTTTCTAGTTCCTCACCGCCGTTTGTTTAATAAGATGACCTGTTATGTTCAGATAATTTGTTACAAGCTGCCTGAAGTTTGACAATAAACTGTTCCAACTGAGAAGGGTTCTCCCAGGTGACACGGCCCATTTCAGACTCTTCGTTTTTCTTAGAGATGACCAACTTTTCGAAAGCAATTGCTTCATCTAACATCAAGGCCTACGGAAATATAAGAAGTAAACGAGAGCTAGCGTAACGGATAACCTGTTGGCATTTCAGCATTTGCTTGTCAATAGTATTATAAAAATGAGCAATTTGTTTTAATGTTACTCCATATCTATAGAACTTTTCACCCTGGTTAGCACAGTTTATAATTTTACTTGGAATCATCAAACCAAGACTGGCGAGTTGTCTAACCTGGAAGCAAATTTTCTTTCCGGAATAGCTCTGAAGGCTAGAGCATACCTCTTTCAACAACTTCAGTAATCTATCGCTATAGTTTACATACAATGTTCCCTTCTTATGTTCGAGCATCATTATTTGCCCTTTCGTTTCTAATGCAATTGAATCTCCAGAATCTTCGATTGACTGGATTGTTTCTCGACACCTGCAAACATAGTTAAGGTGAGAAAAAACTAAGAGCTTCCACCATGTGTCGTAGTTTTCTTGTTCAGCAACTGTCATCCGCTCTTGAAACGATGTCAAAGACTTTATTAGCTGGTCATAATCTTTCAAGTCGTCGAGTATTGTCATAGCCAATGTTTTCACATTGCTTATCTGTTGTGAATGATCAATTCAAATTCCGTATAACTCATGAGTATATATACCTGAGTCAGCTGTTGTCTTATCCAAACTATTTTGGAGGCTACTTCCGTTAAATATGCATGTGATTTTAGATCTATGTTCGCCAATTTATCATTAATTTCCCTTTCTTTGGATGATAACATAGCTGATAAGCGACCAAGCAGAGCTTCGCTTCAAAATTCAGAGATCATTGCTATCAAATTTCAATTACCGTTCGAAAGCTAGTTTTAATTTGATTGACGGCCTACTCAAAAAGTTTCTGTACCTCTCCAAATCGGCAGTCATCTGAAGATAATACATCAATGTACCGAGTTATTGTTGAGCACATTAAAAACTACGTGCTTTTTTTAGTTGGTGTAATGGTTAATGTCTTGTTAATAATCGTTCATTGATGGTTCGACCCCTTTGACACTCATTATCTCAGCTAACCTTAGTGTTGTCCAGTTTGTTTGGATCCAATCGTGACTTGAGTATCGGTATCACTCGATCGATAATGGGCTCTAATGCTCTCTCTGTAGTCTGCAATCTATACGTTCTTGCCTGTATTATGGACTTTACTCACAGCCAATCGGGATTTCCAGTTGTCTTCTGTGTAAGGGTTGTATGCCAAGGCTGATACACCCTTCATTGCTGTTTCCAAAATCATATCAATCTTGAAATTTAAGGTTGTGTCACTTCTCAATTTATACAAACCTCTTTTTCCACGCCTCTATCATTAATAAGGGCAGTTATTTGAGGAGTTAGCTCGCGAAGACTCAATATCTATAATTTAACAGTGAATGTAAGATGGAAAAAGGAGCTCAACATCTTCTAAACGTTTCTTAAATCCAATTAAATATTTCATGTCAAGTTGTTCCCCTTTCCAAGGGTCTTCCATTTGCCGTTTCCACGTTTGTCCAGTGAACAATCGAACGCTCAAATCCCACTGTTCACAAAGGCTTATAGCTAAATGTTTACATTCTCTATGATTACACTTGAGTTTTTTGTCTTTTTTACCGATTCCAATATTTTCTGGAACATCATCAGCTTTCCAAATTTGACTTTCATCAATTTTCAAGGTTATTTGATCGCATAGATAGATACCTGCAATGATAAGTACGAAACTGTTCAAAGCTCTCTATTCATACTCATAGCAATGATCAAACTTTTCATTTTCTGTTCACCATATGATGGCTGAGACTCCCATAACGAATCACAAACATCTTCGAATGTTTCAACTAATATGAAAGAATCATCCAAAGATCTTGTCTAAACCTGATGATAAAAATAGGAAAACAACTATCACTAACAGCCATTGTTTCCATGATGTCACTCAGAGGAGCGAATGATTCATTGTATTGCTGGGCTGTTGATCCCTTTTGCGTTTTCCAATATCGAATTTCATTTGATAAAGATGAAATACCTCAAAAAGTTAAAATTAAAACTCAAAAGCAAATATAATAAGAAAGCAACAGCTTCATCCGTTCGAAATATTCAAATAACCTTATGATTTTAAAAAGGTCAACGTGGCAAACGGATGTATGCTAATTACGCGCAGACAGTGCATGATCTCTGTTAAATAATCGAAAATCACCTTTATCTTGTGAGTTGTTGTTTGAAACAGTTGCCAATAAACTTTCTTCCAATTCATTCACAACATTAACAAGTTGCTTACTTCTGGGAGTGGTATTTCCAAAGTTTTGACTGTATACCTAAATAAGGAACATAACTCTTCCATTTTCTGTTCTTTCATACGTTCTGAATAGTTTTGAGAAGAACTTCATTTGGTGAAGCATTCATTGTAACAATGCTCACGATCGTTTTCACATTTTCCGATGTTAGAACAGTTGGTTGATTTTTGTAAAACACAACCCTGGCTGTTGGAGAGGAATCCGTTCGAAGTTCATTTGTCAACTCGACTGTTTTCTGCATTCTTCTTCCGATAAGATAATTATATGAATGTTCCAAACCTCAAACCGGCTTATGACAAGCAGCGTCTTGTTTGTATCACAAAAACTGTCCAGAGCGTTCGTCTGCTTCAGCTTTTCTTCGGTTATGTTTAATCCCAAAATATGACTGGCTACTCGCAGCAAATATGTTCGACGAGCATCAGACTTATCGTTTTCTGCCATGCTAACAAAGCTAATATCAATAAAGGTTAAAACAAAAATAAAATAAAACAGTTTAAGGGAGCATATAAATGAAACCCGTTGGTTGTTGGGTGCATTCAGTTGCCTTGGCGACGCCTTCCGTCTCAGCCCATTGTAATGAGTTCTCTCATAAGCGTATATGTATGTGCGTATTATGTTTCCGTGTGTTTTCATTAACAGTATCAATACAAAGTAAAAGCTTGAATTGTTCATTATCCTTTACCACATAAGGAAATTTATGTTCATAAAGTAATGTATATACATATACACTAAATACAAGGAAAATAATGAATTACAAACAAGAAGAAGATGATGAATGAATGAGAATGAAGAAGAAGATTGAAAATCTACAAGAAGGGCAGTACATATACATACGTTAGAGCCATCTAAATTCTTTAGTGACTAAGGCTAAAAACGAAAGAAAATACCTACAAAACTTTGCGCTCAGCTGTCAATTGATCACATCAAGATCACAAAAAAGACAAATGAACTACAAAGAGAATGAGAACGTTTTGATCGAATAAGCGAAATGTTTGTGGAGAAGAGATAAACTTATTATTTAAAAAAAGCTTTTCTCCACATACATTCACATAACCTGAGATAAATTAAGAACACGTTTGGTATTATAGCCATAATCAGGAAGAAAAAGAAGTTAAGGGAGCGGGGAGCGGGGGGGGGACTGGGTGGGAGTATAGGGATAAGAAGGGCGGTGAAATAAGAAAGATGGGAAGAGCAGGAAGATGGTCAGAAGAGAACAAAAAGATGAAAATAAAATACAGAAAGTTTTTTTTTTGGAAAAAACAAAAAATTCTATTGATGGTCACCAAAAATGGACCAAAATATAAGTGGTGGCCAGGTGTTGAGGTGAAAACCTCAGTTGTGGAACTAAATGAGTAACCACACAAATAATATAGTAAGTGGAGACAATTTGCCTCAGGTACGCATTTTAAATAATTTAAAAAACTCTAAAAGGAAGTCGCCAAACTCATCATTACCATTCAATACCAGCATCTAATGAAGTTCAAAACAAGTTTCTCAGAAAAAGCTTCTATCATTATTTGAAATTATTCTCTTCAATGGGGTGTATCAGGAGGGGGTTAGTTAGTTAGAAGAATGAAGCATGTTGATAGGCTTTTCAAAAAAATGAAAAAGAATTTTTCATCAAATATCATGAATAGAGGAGAAGGTGAATGGAAGCTTCATCTTCACAGGGTAATTGTCGATTTTTCTCTCATGGGGAAGGTTAGTAATGGATATTTCCATATTTGCACAAACTAAAGGACTAATATGACATGAACTAGGATGGTCAGTGAAGAAGATTTAGATATAAAAACTTGATGAAAAGCATGCAAATGATATATGTTAATTGGTTGAACCTTAAGTTGGAATTCTGCCTTTCTTTTTCTATTTCGTAGAGTATCTTCTCATCAAGCTTTCATAGAATGTTCAAGTAGAATATTAGGTAGATTATGGCTTTGAATCCTAATGGAAGAGACGAAGACGTAGACGACGTCCTTGTTGAGCTGGAGCTCCAACAAACGTTTGAGCATTATCAAGTACAAGTAGATCATTTGGTTGAAGAACAACTGTATGCATATGTTGACAACAAATTTTGTTGAATGTCTTCAAACTACTGTAGAGCATATCCAATGATTCAGTTGTAATTTCACTAGATCGAAGATCATTATTGAAAACAGCCTGAAATTTACATTTTCAAACTTCAGTTTCAATCAAAATTATTTAGAAAACATTTCAAAGTTCAAGAAATAAGAGGGCGAAGACAGAAAAACATACCGCAACGACTTTTCCGTCTTGAATCTCAGCAGTACGATGAGCAGCTTTGAAAAATCCATGCTCATATTCAATTGGAGTACTGGCTAAGAATTCAAATTGCTCTGGATGAGATTGAGCCATAACACTAAGAGATTGTACAGCATCTACCAAATGAACCTTTGCATTTGCTTTTTCTGACTCAACAGAAACAATTGATGGAACCTTCAAATAAGATAAATATTAAAATTAGTTTTTAAATTACGAGAACTTACTCGTTCAAAGTGTGGCCAGATGGTGCCACATTCAGTAGCTCGTTCTCCCCATTGAAGCATTGCCATGTGTGACATATCTTCGTAAGATGGACGTGGTTGAATTCGCCAAGGAAACTTGAGAACCTTAAATATGAATTTAAGATGAAAATGAAAACAAATAGCGAGTTGAATAATACTTGAATTTTTTGCGAGTAAAATCTTATTAAATCCGAACAATAAGTCTAACGATCGTTGAGCGCCAAATGTTTATTGCTCAGAAGAAGATGATACAAAATGCAGTGTGTTTATCACACAACTTTCACGTGAAGAGGAGAGAGATGAAGCTTCGAAATATTTACCTTTGTAGTTGCTGGAAGACTGGCAATATTGTGAGCCCGTTTGACGGAAGCATGCTCACGAAGGAATTGTGATGAGTATGATGATGGGAGGAATGGTGGCCAGACAACAGATAAATTTCTTCCAGTGTAATCTACTTCCTGCACATATATGGACATGTATGTTTAGTATATCTCTTCTAGACAATCAATATTACCTGTGGCTTGGTGTTCAAGTCGAGATGTAGCAAGCTTGGTCGCCGATTACTGTTATCGCGAAGCCAAACATAAGTGAACTGAGCTGAAAGTCCATCCTCCCATTCAACACGCAGGGCCCGGGAAAGACGTTGGGCTGATTTTAGTGCATACATCTGAATATAAAGAATCAAGAATTATCTAAAGATATATATAGATCATAATTATAAAGATGCAAATATTGCTTATTAGAAATACGGAAAATACAGGGTTTTTATGCGAAAATATTATGAAGAGACAATAACGAGAGAAGAATCACACGTGACTTGCATAATATTCGGTGCAAAAGAATTAAATTGATGAGAAGCGATAAGAAATCCACGTGAATTTATTTGGATAAGAAAATTGCGATGTTAGACACGTACATATATATATATATATATATAGATTGATATACATTAATATATATTCATAAATTATATCAAGAAATTGACCCAAAGCTATTAGCCGGCAGCTATCATAACACATCCAGCTGCTGCCCCCCATAGAGTAACCTCCGACATAGCCATGTACACACATAAAACTTCAAAGGGACGAACCTAACTGATAATTTGCAAGAAGTAAAAAACAAAACAAATAATTTCTTAGCACATTCTCTATGACAGACAGGAAAAACTAGGACATTTCTGAGGGGCGGAGATTTTCAGGCAGTTAGTGGGCGGGACTTATACGATGGGGGATTACCCACAGTTGAACGAAAGATACAACGCACGAAGAACAATCAAACAACATATTTACATTTATTTCATATTTTTAATCAATCAAACTAACAAATGTGTAGAGGAAGAGTCAAAATCAAACATTTTGTGATCAAATATCCACAGTGGCTCGAAATTGAAAATATCCCAAGATTTAGGCCAAAGAAGGGGGGAGGAGAACGCAGAGAGGTAGCAAAGAGTTGAACTCCATACATTATTGATTATGGAAGTAAGGAAAGGGAGAGAAAAAAACTTTTTTTCCTCTCTATACGATCAACTTGTGAAACAATGTGAAAACAAGTTTTGACAACAGAACTGAAAGGGTTAGAAAGATGAACGCGGAAAAAAACTTGAATTCTAAGAGAGCACATGCTGCCATTGGAACAAAAAATCCTCAATGTCCGCCCGGTCGAATATTACACAAAATCGAATGAAAATGTCTGATTTTACCAGTCTCGGTTTTCCCCGAACTCACGAATCTCAATCAATTCGTCATCGCCGCTATCAAAAATAGAACATTGAGGCATTAAACTTATTAGTTCTAACTAGTAAAAACATAGAACACATAGCCTGATTATTTGATCTGTTTATTACATATGCTCTTTAACATCAGAGAATATAATTGACAAATCAGCTGACGCTACAACAATTCTGAATTTTTGAAGAAGAAAAAATTGACAAATTCTTATGTAAACTGGTTGACTGCAAGTCAGGCGTACGGATGAATAATGAAGATGATTTGTAATATTTCCAGAAATGTGAAAAATAAGGAAATGAAATTGGAGATGTCCAAAAGAAAGCAACCGTTCTTGACAGCAAACAAGTTAAAAATGAATTTTGATATCGGGGATTACGTGGTTCACGTTTTCACGTGAGCGATAACGAGAGAACGAAGGACGAAAATCTCTCAAAATAAGAAAAATAATTCAAAGTATTAAAACAAGTGATGACCCTTGGACTTTTAACAGCAACATGGGTATAAAGTTTACAAATAAAGAGAGAGAGAGAAAGAGAGAGAGGGAGAAAGAGAGAGAGAGAGAAAGGCACGTGGGAGAGAAATGAAATTGAATTGATAAACCTTTGAATGATTCAAATATTTTCAAAGAAACAATCCAAAAAACATTGTGTTCATCTTCATCAAAATCACAAACGAGAATGTTTTAACCAAAATATAATGAATAGAGCTGTCATCCTTATAAGGGCTAATGATTATCTAATCAATGGCAAAAATGAAAAAAAACAGCCAATAATGACCACATTATTGATGACAGACAAGAAGTTGATAGTAATAGAGAGATGAGAGAGAGAGAAATGGAGAGGAAGAGAAAGAGAGAGAGAGAGGAGGACATGTTTCTGTTTCTTGTTTTCTATCCTTTAAATACTATAAAAAATGCCTTAAATTTAGCATCATGTGATTCTGTTTCAATTACAGATCTTCTTCACACATCTCTTCATTGTACCGAGCAGATGTAAGCTTACTCGGATCACACAATGTATGATATCACATATATTATAGAGAGTATTAGACGAGCAGCAACGTGCAAAGTCTTTCTGGACTCAAATAAAAGGAAAGAAAAAGAACAAAATTAGAAAGTTTAATCGAATAAGAAAAAGCTGCAGCGTATCAGGCATTTGTTCAAGCTTTTTCGTACATTCAAGTGTCAATTTCATCTATTTACTTCTATTTGGTATTGAATACGAGGCCGTCAAAACATTCAAAAATTATTTTTTTTTTACAACAATGAAGTTAACAACTTCCTTTTTGCCTTCTTTATCACATATAACAATGAGTGAAAATGTAATTACAATTGTAACTTTCTTCCAGAGAGAAATAGAGAGAGAGAGAGAATGAAAATGGAAAAGAGAGGGAGAGAGAGAGAATGAAGGACAAAAAATAATTATTTTTGATAAGGCTTTTCATAGATGGAATTAAAGATGAAATGGAAAGTCATAAAGAGAGGATAATCTAACGATGCTGCAGGTGTGTGTTAAAGAAACACTTGTTTGATAAGACATCATCTATTTCATAAATAAAGCTTATTAAAACTATTAAAATGAAATGGTCTAGCATCAATGGGTACATTCTAGGGTTGAATGGGTGATTCCAAGAGTGTAATAAAAACGAAAATTCCAAAGAATCAGGAACGATGTGGGCAAAGGAACAGAAAAAAAAACGAAAAAGAGAACACTCTCTTTCAACATTTTGATGGAAACTCGATGGATGAAGTCGATTTTCGTGTCCATGTGTGTGCACAAATCAATTCGTTTCAAACAACAGCTGGGAGGGGGGGGATGGATGGAAGAATCAAAAGAGAAACACAGAGTAAATAAACAATCAGGAACTTTTCATGGATTCTCTCTCTCTCTTAGTCTCTCTCTTACTATATTATGAAGGGAAGCATCTTTGCACACAACCAAACACAAACGAGAAACCCTTATAACGAATGTTCTGCTGATGTTGTTTCTCTTTACTTCTTTATAAATTCCATTTTACTCTCTCTAAACTTGCAAATACAACATAAACAATCAGAACAACAACAACAACCTTTAAGGAAAAGATTCAGACTATTTTCGATTCGTTCTGCAAACACTATGCGACTAAAATAAAAAAAAATCGTTTTCAAAGTGTTCGCGAAGAAGCGGATAAACGTCGGCCACCCATGTAAATTCACATTGGGTGGTCTCCTCTCCTCGTTTCCAAGCTCAATCATATTCACAATGAGAAATAGAAATAGCATATGAACGAGAGAAGTTTATAGAAACACAAACGCGTTCGGAAAAGCAAAAAATTATTTGGCATTCGAGCGTTTTCTTCTTTTTCTTATAAAAAAAAAAGGCTTTTGCTTCAAGAAGTAGCAGATTGACTCGTATTGACAAATGCGAACGAACAACGAAAGAACAGAAACGAAAATAGGGGGGAAACTATAAGTTTACAAAGAAAAATGAAAAAAAAGGAAAGGGAAAGACAATGAGATTCGAATCTATTGATCTGCTCCTTTTATAGATCAAACGTACTTCGAACTCTCTCTTGTATAGTTTGGAAGAGAACTGTTGGTGAGTGAAAAAATATAATAATCAGTGTTTTGGGTCAATTGTCTGACAAAAGCAAGAAAGGGAAACACCCAGTTTAGGGGGTGGGGATGCCCTCGAGGGCCATCACAGCTGATACACGACGACAGCAATTTGAATGCTGAAAGAAGCAGGTTTTAAAGAATATTTGACGATCATGCGACTTCCTTCCTCTTTTCCTTTTTGAATATAGAAGGAATAACTTTCTCTCTGTGTATAGCTTTCCATTTTCTCTCTTCGTCTCTTTCTTACTCTCTTTCTTACGCATATTCGGTCTGTATGGATGATCTCTCGTATCAGTTGGATCAATCGTGCATATGCAAGCTGGCCATGTGCTTCACCGGTCTTTATCATATGAAACTCACATGGAGATGTTTCATTAAGAGAACAAACTCCTGTCTTTTTAGATATTATCAACTGATTATCATTTGTAAACACTTATCTTTCATTTGGAATTGGTTTCAATCAATTAACTTCCAAAAATTGAAAAGGGAAAATGAGAACTTTTTGGGTTCTGATGTACCCTCAAAGCTTTGCAATGGCTGTCTGCCAATCGTTTTTTTTCCCATTTTACAGCACATTTTTCTATTTATCAACACGAAAATAAGATGAAAGGAAGAAAGAGTGAGATTTGAAGCTTAATTTTTCAAAAAAATTTCTTCACATTATCACGAGGTTGTTTTACTTCCTTCAGTATATTTTCTTGCTGACATTAACATGTTTATAACATTTTTTTTTCTTCACTTTCAGAATGGAGACGACATCAGTAGAAAGAAAACAGAAAAATAAACAAGAAATTTAAACGTTTTCAATCACATATTGAATGTCTTTTATCATTTGTAACAAGAGAAACATAGAGAGAAAGAGAATGTAGGAGAGGAGAAGGAGAGGAGAAGGGGGACGATCAAGGAACCTCAACATACATTCAAGGCAAATGATAAACTGAACTGATTACTCCAACATCGCAACAAAAACTTAAAATCCCCCACCCAAAAAAACTTTTCATAATTAATTTTAATCAATATCTATATTATAGCATATAAAGAAATAGAAAATTTGATGTACAAGCGAACACTGGCTGAGTTACAGTTGGAGTGACCAAGTAGATGAGCCAATGAAGGCTACTAGCTGGTCCAGGAGGTCAGCTGTGTTCGACAAAAAGGTCAAATCTCTATACTATTCTTATACTCTCATTAACATAATATATAAATTATATTCTCTATTCTATAACATTGTCTATGACTCTCTTAAATAATCATTATCTATATTTACGTTCACGTGAATATCATGGGAATTCAGCAGACACTATGGTGCGGGGAACCCCTTGTGTGTTTTAGATTCTTTCAGAATCAGTGGAAGAACATCATATCAAACAGAATAAACAATCATTGATTAGGAATGTTGTATTTCATATTTTTGATGAGAATGTTTAATTTTTATAGTTTTAAAGCTTTCTATTTATCATTTGTATTCAATACATACATCCATCCATCCATCCATCCTTCCACATTCACACACACACACACACACATACACATACACATAGTAAAAGAATGATTGAGATTGAGAGAGGAAGATAGAAAGATAGAGAGATTTTCTATTTCACCAATACATTTTTAAGGGAATAAAGTCCTCCTAGATAAGCAAATATTAAAAGATAAAAAAGATAATCATCCGCAGGGCATAAACGAATCACGTGTAGAGAGAATTAGCAGGACCTGCTTTTCAAGCACTTAAAGAGAAGGGGGAAATAATGATTATTATATTTTTAAAATAATGTTAGTTGTATCAAGGAAACGTTTTTCGATGAGGACCTGAAGGACTAGTTGAAAACTATCATTTCTTTTCGGTAAATACAAAGTACGATCTTGTGATTGAAATATTGTAGTCAATAGACATGGATAACAAACCTAAAAACAAAATAAAATATAGTTTTTAAAGAAAGAAAATTGGTTAAAATTTAAGAAAAACTCAAGTGCTCACCGTTCTCATGATAGGAGGTTCAGCTAAAAAACAACCGCTCATCATCTGCCATCCATTAGAAATGAATATGTACACGTAAAATGATTCACGTGATTTTCATTTACATTATATATTGTGTTTGTATTTGATGTAACAACAAGTGAAGTTGTAAGTTTTATTTATAACAAACATAAATAAATAAAGTACAAAACATTGTTCTCGTTTGTTCTTTGATAGTTGTCCACAATGTGATCAAAACGAACTTTAACTCACAAGACCCATCACCTGTTGTGTTGGACAGCGAAAATCTTTTCATTCGCATATTATCCCCTCATAGCCAAGATATCATTCTTCTCATTTTTTTCCTTTTTTTTTCTTTAAACGATTATCAGGTGATTAAACTCGACCTCGTGTCAGTCAGTGTCCATTCGTGGCAGTCTGACAATATTCTTTTGATAAGAGTACTTGTTAAGTGATAACAAAAGTTTAGTTCTTTGTCTGCCGGACATCATGGGAGCTCGCTTTCTGATATTCTTGTTGAGCTTAGTATGTATAGTTCTGAGCTCTAGGGTTTCACCTAAAGCTTTTCGTAACAGGTCAGTTGAAGAAAAATCACAAAGTTGTAATGTTCTAATTTTAGATATAATCTTCGTGGGTGCTACAAGCAAAATCCTGAACGTACTGAGCATAGGTTTGTAATATCTCTTGAACCCAAATATCTAGTGATATGGATAATATAGATTGACTCGCCGCATCTATGAGAAGGCTGGATTCGATAAGGATGATCTTCCTCGTTCTTGGGACTGGCGTAATGTTAGAGGAATAAACTATGCATCAGCTGATAGAAACCAACATATTCCAGTATGTAAGTGACGTTTGATATTTTGATTGTTCAAACTCTACTTTTCATCGAAAAACTGAGAAAAGATAAGAGATCCAATTGAGCGCTGATAAACCTCAGTGTTTTGCCATGAAAATATATTTAAAAATCAAATGTTATCAACCATTTCCTAATGATTCTCTTTCAGACTGTGGATCTTGCTGGGCATTTGGTGGGTTTCCGTACTTTCTTATCGCAAATTTATCGAATGACCTTTTAACCTGATAAGATAGACTGATTGTTAGATACCACAAAGATTCCTAAGTTAAGTGAAAACGAAAGACTTGTTTGATTTACAGGAGCTACCTCAGCCTTGGCTGATCGTATCAACATTAAGCGCAAGAATGCTTGGCCACAAGCTTACTTGTCTGTTCAAGTAAATCTTATTTAAACTTAAAACTCAGTTCAAACTAACGTTAAAGGAAGTAATTGATTGCTCTGGAGCCGGAACATGCATTGAAGGAGGAGAACCACTTGGAGTATACAAATACGCTCATGAACATGGAATCCCTCACGAGACTTGTAATAACTACCAGGCTAGAGACGGAAGTTAGTTGACGTTTTCTCTTTTTTCTAATTATTGCCTCCTAGAGTGTAATCCATACAACCGTTGTGGATCTTGCTGGCCAGGAGAATGCTTCTCTGTTTCCAACTACACTCTTTACAAAGTAGGGGAATACGGTAAATATTTGTTCAAGATACTCCTCTTAAGCTTCGATACTTACAGGAACTGTTAGCGGATATGAAAAGATGAAAGCCGAAATCTACCATCACGGACCAATTGCTTGTGGTATTGCAGCTACCAAGGCTTTCGAGACTTATGCTGGTGGCGTTTACAAGGTAACGAGAGACGCAGAAAAGGGTTTATAAGCAAAGAACGTGTTTGAAGGAGGAAACCGATGAGGAAATCGATCACATTATTTCTGTCCACGGATGGGGTGTTGATCATGATACCGGTTAGTTAAGACTGTAGAAGGATAAGAAATAATTATTGCGTTTCAAGGAGTCGAATACTGGATCGGAAGAAACTCATGGGGACAACCATGGGGAGAGCTCGGATGGTTCAAAGTCGTTACTTCTCAATATAAAAATGCCGGAAGCAAATACAACTTGAAGGTATTTCCTTTCAAAACTTCCAAACTGATAAATGAGTTCAGATCGAAGAAGACTGCGTTTTCGCTGACCCCATCGTTTAAGTTGCTTGCCTACTACTGTTGCTTTAGAAAGATCGATGTCTATACAAATTGCAAAATATTTAATAAAGCGTTGTGTAATTACATGTTTATTTCGTGATTGAGAAGACGAAGGGCTTCATAGTTAATACTTTTCTACAACTGGATGGCAAGGTTCAGTCGTCATCATCTTCTACATACACATATAAAGAGTGATGATCAAGAAACCATGCGCCTGAATTGAAATATTACCCCATTTCAATGAAATAATCAAACGAACACGATTTTGCAACCAAAGCACCAGAAAAAAGTGAAAAGAAGAATACCCCGATAATGGAAGAAGCTCTAAACTTGCCGGCATTCTCAGGCGAAACGATAGCTGGGCTCTTAAAAACCGCCGTTTCTTGCACTTCTAAACAGTAGCTGTGTTAAGTACTTGAATGAGTCAACTCACCTTTTATATAATCATTCACACGTGAACGCAACAAATCCATGTTCATCTTTCTATGGATGAGTGTGGCGATGGGTTTTGAACGTTTCAGAAGCATGATTAAAATTAATAAATGCTTAAAGTCAAACTATAAGCAAGTCATGAACATCATGCATGAACCGAACAGGATGCGTCGCGGTTTCAGCCGCTCGCAATAGAAAATAGTCCACAACCTGAAAATATCAAACTGAAGAAGGCAATGAAACATAATGAAAACACAAGTTCAGTCATTCGGGCTATTGATTTGATGAATTTGAAAATAATTGTATGAAGAAGCCAACGTTTCGTAATAGAACCGTTGATTCATTCGAGCATCGCTTAATCTGCATATATGAATTGTTATTGAAACATTGGAAACTAAGAACGAAGTATCCATTGTATGACGCAGAGCTGTTGTTTTTCATTAATTTCCTCCTGGATAAGTTATATGTTATTAAAAGAGAAAGTTTGCAACAGAATCGAGCAAGATTTTCTGATGTTTGTTAAATCTGATGGATTTCCATGGTTTGTGAAGCTTCATTATTAGAATCGACTTGGAACGGAAATTAAAAGCTTCACAGCTTAAAATACTTGCTATGATTCGCATAGGTTATATATTTTAGTGTTTTGTGTTTTTTCTTGTTGATAACAATGATAACATATTGATTTTAATTGAACTACGTATATCGATTATACTAAGACATGTCAACTGAATTGAATGAAAAGATTTATAGATGAATTAAATAATTTTTCAAAGCGCATGCTTGTCATTTAATAAAACGGAAATGATCTGTTGTGGTTAGGTGGTTCTGAAGATCTATGATGTCTAGAAATGTTGAAATTCACTGGTAGGAAGTCTAAGAGAGGACTTCTATTGAAACAGTTGAAATAACTTTTTATTCGTTAAACTTTGCATTTTTTTTTCTTTCAAACTACTTTCGTCATCTAGTAGTTCAAAGCCGAAAGTGAAAGCTTTGAATGTTTTCCTCAAATTATGCAAATGTTTAGTATTGCCGTACGTGAAGTATACACGGAAAACGCATTTTTTGAATCTTATTTCCGCCAAACGGTTGTACATGTGTGGTGTCCCTGATATATGTGATTATTAGGCTTTCAGATCTTTCTTCATAAATATTTTCTTGTACCTTATCTGCGAGAGAAAAAGATTGAATTTCAAAGTTTATAACAAATGGTTATTATAATGAATATTTACATTTTATTTATATCCACATATAGACATGTATATGCCCAAGCTATGTGTGAAAATTTAAAAGAACATATCCGGAAACTTGGCAAACGAACCAACTAAACGTTTACAATTACATTATGATCGCTGTTTTTTCACATGTCACGAATTATTTTTGGATTTCTTCAGCTTTTATTGAAATAAATATCTTCGGTCAGACGAACTTTTAGCTTCTTCTTCTCTTTCTTCAATTTTACCCTTCAATATCTTTTTTTTCCTGTTTCTAAAAAAAACACTTTTTTTCTGTTCCTTTAATTGCCTTATCTAGTTGTTCTGTTCATAGTTCATACGATTTACATTGCTGCACATGAAGTAATGTTCTACCTTAAGTGAATTAAAATAATTCTTGATCAATGTATTATCGTATTCAGAATCATATGTTCTACTGACTCTTTAGTTCATCTTCATTTTTTCACTTCAATGCACCAAATGCTTAACCTCCTTTTCACAAACTTTTTCTTTCCTATCCCCCCCCCCTCGTCTCATTTCTCTCCGTTTAATGCTGATTGTCGTCTGAACATCATGCTTGAGTCTTCTCCATATTATATGAGGCTTGTGAGCATATAAAAAAACTTTTTTTACATCCTCTTCCTCCACTAATAGTTCCAATTAAGCATGAATAATCATAGAATCTCAGGCTCCTGTGGGCATGAGATGTACTATTCCTAATACATCAAAGCCCAGATAGAGTGGCCTCTCCTTTACATCATTATATAGGAGAAAATGAAAAAAGAGAAAAATCTTCTTAAATTTGGGAACTATTTTTCTGTCTGCCCAAATTCCATATTGTCTCGCTTTCGTGTTCACGCAATTATTTCTACGTCGTATTCCTTCCTCATTGCTCTGCCTTCTCTCCTCTTACTCTCATTCTAATTTTGTTACTTTCTTTCATTCTCTCTTCATTTTCTTTGTATTCTCTCTATCCATTCAATCTCCTCTTTATCTTTTGTCTCTCTATAACTTAATGATATCTCATTTAATCTAACTTCTCTCCTTAATAACTTCTAATTTGATACTTAATTTATGAATACTTTCATATGTCACGGCCGACTTCTCATAATCCTTTCGAAGCGCTATTACCTATTACATTAAGCTGAATCGTCTAAATGATATCATTGACCTACACTTTTAAAACAATTATTTATTTATTAAAACTAATTGTTTCCTCTTGCAATCATTATCAATTCTCATTTCTCTCATTCGACTGGTGCAGCTCCGGATTCTCAGAGTTTAACATGTTCTTGAATCTTTAAATTCTTGTGCAGTTCTTCTGTTTCTGCTTAAAAACAACTTTACTTCTCCTCATAAATGAACTTTGAAGATTTTGTTTTTCAAACAAATGAATCATACAGTCTTTCACTTGTTTCTCTATAACTTCATTACATTCGCTAGATATCTTCCACTTCCTCCAAGAGTCTGGAACAGAGTTGACGAAAGATGTTTTTCTTTTCAGCTTTCAACATGATTTTTATAATTTGTTTCAGTTCGGTTTTTTTTCCTTTCTTCAAGAACATTCTTAGATCTCTCAATACTTACTCATATATACATATATATTATAAGAAGTTGAAGAAAACTTCTGAATGCGACTGCTCTCTGCATGCTATAAGTCCACAAATGTAATTTGTGGCTTCAACTACACGCTTTTTCCTTTCCGCTCCACGTGTAGTATTCACGTGTGAAAACGTTTTTGGATATTCTAATATCCTGCTGAGTTTGTGATGAAGCTCAAAGAATGAACTGGAAACTCCGATGTCTCATCATTGGATGAGCCCACTCCTACTTCACGACTTCTTGACTATTTTTTCCGATTTCAATTTAAATCTCTCTCAATCTATCTCGTCACCACTATCTCATCAGACTATTATGATGATTTGTATTTGTCTCTTGATTCAGTTAATATAATATATTTCTATGAATATATGATGTATATGTATATATAGAAACAGTAGTATAATACTATTAAAGCTGTCTGGACTCATTAAGCTTCATCTAACTCATCATTTGACCTAACAATCTTCAAATCTCTCAATATTCACATGTAGCTTACATCTATTTCTTCTCTTTTTTTCCATTTCTTTCTTAAGTATATCATTCTTACTCAATCCGTTTTCGAGCTTCATGCTCCATTTCGCAGCCTTTCCCATATAAGTCCATCTATTCCAATTATATTTCCTCGACTTCTCAAGATGCTTCATCTATCTATCTTCCTTTTCGTCAAATTTCACTTTTTCATGTATTATTTTGACTTTCATTTCAGCTTTCATATCTCGTTTTATTCGAATTCAATTGAAACATTTGAGCTTCTCCTAAAGATCCTCGTTTGAGAAGTTAAAAAAAGAATTGAAAGAGAATAGAATAAGAACTTTCGAACAATTTTAGAAAAAAAAACATTTTTTTTAGCTTCTTAATAATAATATCCAACACATACACATGCACACACACATACATACTTATTCCCCTTCTCTCTATTTCAAGTCTTCTCTCTTGCTATCTCTTATTCTCGTTATAAAAATAACAAAGTTTGAACTTGGCTTGTTCCAATCAAACAATTCTTCCATACAATCAGCATTGTCTATTATATTTCTTTGAAACAATGGCTTTTGAAGCTTCAACATTCAACCCAGATTTGAGCTTGCAACTGATGTCGTCGTTGTGTCGAACGACGTCAACGTCAACCAAATCTTTCACGAAGTTACATCTTCATATACAATTTGATCGAGAGAACCCTCTCATTCAAATCACTCCTTTCTATTCTTATCTCTCTCTCTCTCTCTCTCTCTCTCTCTCTCTCTTAACAAATTGTACTTTACTTCTCAAAACTCCCACTCTTCTAATCAATATTTGACAATTTAATTAACTAAAAGACAAGAAAGCAAAAGATTTGTGTTTTTTTCATATCAATTAGTCTACTACTACTCTATTATTATTATTATCAAACATTAACTATATTGTATAGTAAACTTTTCAGATTGTATTTTATAATAACATTTTTATTTGTTAAAAACAATTTTCTTTTGTTCGTTGAAAAACATTAAAATCACTATTCATACACTTAGAAACATCAGCAGTCAGCAGTTGGATGAGATGAAGCTAAGTGTTGAAGAGATACGAAGAAGCAGAAACAGATGAAGATAACCTCCCACATTCACGTTTTCAATATATATATTTTAATTCTCCTTTATGAACAGCAGTTGTTGTTTATCATTCTTAATTTTTTTAAGCTCATCTCGCGCCTTTCTCATCTTAGTTCATCTAGTTTTGAAAAGTTAAAAAAAAAATTTAAACAAATGATTTACAAGTGTTTACTTCCATTCAAAGCTTCTGCTTTCAAAGCTTTAGCCACACATTCTCTTCTAACCATTTGGCTTATTCTTTTTATTTTCTGTCGGCTGTCTTCTTCATCTTCTAAATTCTCTCATATCACTTTTTTAACCAAAAATATAAAGTACACTTGTTTTGGAGCACGTGAAAGGTCACGCAAAGCTATCACGTGAACTTTTCAAACGAAATAACCTTTCATAAACTTTTATAATTTCTATTATTCTCTATTTCCCTCTCTCTCTTCGTACAAAAAGCCCTTCTCTACCTCTTTCCCTCTCTCTCTTTCTATGTGTTGCTCCTTCACACACACGCTTTCTAGTTGATCAAAGTCAACGAAACAATGAGCATTTCTGAGAATTTCTTATTCGTCTTCTTCTTCTTTTTTTTTTATTATTATAATTTTAATTGAAACAAATATATTTTATATGTATAGTTTAGATATGGTAGAGACGGAAAATGAATCAAAAAATCTTATTTCTCCTTCACAAAGTCTTCGACGAAAATCTGGAGCTGTTCCAGTTAAGAAATTCCCTTCGCTACAGGTAAAGAGCCCTTGAAATTCATGTCTTTGTATGCTAATTTACCTTTCACTTGTTAACATACTGAAAATATTTTTTGTGACTTTTTTTTCCCTCGAAACTTGTCATTGTCCTCATCAACTTCCTCACGCACTTACTCTCCCCTCTCCCACTCTTTATCTCTCTCTTTATCTCTCTTTCCTCTTTCTTTCTCTCTCTCTATTTTCCTTTTTTTCCCAACTGTATTACGCTTTATATATTTGTCTTGTTACCTCTCTCTTGCATTCTGTCCCTTTAATATGCTTCTCTCAACTTCCCCTCTTACTTGTTTCCTCTTCTCGGATATGTTTCTGCCTCTATTTCTGTCTGTGTTCATGTCGTTTTATCTGTGCTTACAAGTGTATGTTCTTTATCTTTTGTCCGTTGTTCTAAATAGTGCTAGCATTTACTTCCTTTTATAGCAAACAACTTTCATTTTAGGTCTCTCATTATCCCGTATTGCTTTGTTCACACAATGATGATGAAGCTAACCAACTGAAATCTAGTGTCATTTGGAAAGCCAGGTTGGTCTGAAACTTTTTTTTTGTCTCTCCCACACATTCAGCTTTTACTCTGTCAGCCTCCTCATTTTGCATTTGCTTCATCTTAAGCTTTTCGAAGTACAAATATGGATATTTCTAAAACCCAAATACAAATTCTCTTTATCAATCTAATGAAACGTCATTTTCGTCTATAAACTTCTAGTTTACAACAATGACGAGAAAAATTCCCTCTTTCTCTTATTAGTCTGTCTTGTAAACAGGAAATATGAGCTTTTACATAAAATTCTATAAAAATTACTTTTTTTTTCGTCATTGAAATCCCTCTGTCTGCCTGCTTCTCTCCCTGCGTAAACTTTAAAAGTCAAAATACCTGGATCAGTTTCCCCTTTTTATTTTCAGCTTGTTGTTCGCTTCCACATCAAAGCAGATAAAGTTCTTAATTAAAAATCTCATTCTGCCTTTTAAGGCAAAACATTGGAAGCTTTTTTTTCCGATTTTTAAACTTCTTCAAAAGAATGAAAAAGGAGGAGAAGAGCTAAATGAATCATATGTAGATGGCTCATGTTGTATTTGATGCTGAAGGTTATAATTCTTTCTCAATGCCCAAATATGGAGAATGAGAATAACATTGAAAAGATCTGTTTTTCAGTAATTAAGCTGAAAAAATCATTTTGTAAATGATTTACAACTGTTCCTTTCATATCCAACCGCTCTCTTTGTCTTATTCGTCATGTAAATGAAAACTTCCTGACTTTTCATCCTTCAAGTGACTATTGATTCTCACGTGAAAGCTATACGTCACATATCTCAAAATCATTTTTTTTTTCTTGGCTTTCTTTTCTTTTACAATTTGGTAACAACTTTTCTTTCAAGTAAACGATAGTTTGAGAATGTTTGCTGCAATGTTGCTCGTTTGCTATCTCAGCAGGGCTTTCTTCACCTTAAGGGAAATCTCTCATTCTTTGACTTCTCGTCCTTTCATAACAGTAGTTTTCTTATTTTCTCTTTTACCTTTTTTTCGTCTCTCCCTCTATCTGGCTCTTTCTCTCTCTCTCTCGTTGACTTCCTCCCTTGCTTCCCACTCCCTATCTCTCCGAATATGTTTTACTTTTAAAGAAAGCATTGTGTGTGGGTTGCTATCTAGCTTTAGATTTCATAGTCCGAACGGGTAACAACCATGTCTTCTGTCATCTCTCCTACTTTGTTCTGTTGAATGAATCTTAAAGAGAATTCAAATTATTTGATTTCTTTCTTTTGCATCTCAGATAGAAAGAAGGAAATTATGAAAGATGGCTCATCAAGAGCAACAAGACTGAAGCTTCTGATGTTTAATCTCCTTAATAAAGCTCTAAATGAAGTTCTTTAATATAAATCTTTTTTTACATTTTTTTTCACACTCTCTCTCTCTCTCTCTCTCTCTCTCTCTCTCTCTCTCTCTCTCTCTCTCTCTCTCTCTCTCTCTCTCTCTCTCTC